AGTTGCCAACGTTGAGAAACACTGGATCAGAGTTTCATATCCCCCTTTTCATTCAGGAGCTACAGGTGGCATGAACGGTGATCCCTTCTCCTATTTTCCCCTGCAACAACAACCCTGCTAAGGAGGCTGGGCCAAGAGAGAGAGACTAGCCTAAATTCACCCCATAGCTGAGGAGTCTGGAGAACTCTGATGGCACCTTTTCCAACTAACGCATTTTATTAAAAGGCACCAGCTTTCTTGAGCTACAGCCGGCCGTGCAACTGACCCCTGCCCATTGCCTCAAACCCAGGCCTGTAAAACCAGCGCAAGACGAACGGAAACCTCAGCAAAATCCACGACTTTGGACTCTTCGTGAGCCTGGCGACGTCTCCCCGCCCTGCACGGGGTTCCCCTTCTCTGGGGAGGGGCCCCACAGCCCTCACCAGCTCCGCAGAGCCTCCAGCTCCTCTCAAGTCTACCCTCCCTCCCCCGCCGGCCCACCTTGAAGGCCAGCGTGGTGGTCCCGTGCTGAAGCTCGATCCTGGGGTCGCCCGCGGTCAGCCCGGCGCAAGGGGCGGCCAGCTCCAGGCCCCCCGGCCCCTTCTCCCCGCCGCAAGGGCCCAGGGCCCCCAGGCCGAAAAAGCCGGGCCTGTTCGCGGGGAGTTGCGGCTCCAGCAGGCTGGCCAGCGCCATGTTAAGTAAGGGCAATTCACCGTGACTCAGGAAAGGCTTCGGCCTGCGCTCTATATAAACGCCGGGCGCCATGTTGGGTGAGGGCAAGCGCCCGCGCTCGTCGTAAAAGCCGCGACGGACTCCCTCCGGCCTCAGCGTCGCTCCCTTGGATGGTCAAGCTGGTTCCACCATCTTTAGCGAGGGCGATTAATGATTAGCTGCCTCGGATAACAACGGGGGACGCCATGTTGGGTGAGGGCAAGGATGATCCAAGAGAGTGACGCACGGATCACCCGAAGCGAATGCCGACTTCGGAGGATGGGAAGAAAAGAGGAAACATGGAAAAAGAAACATGGAATTTATTGTTGATATGCAGAGCGGCTACGCTAGGGAAGGAAACAACCAAAAAGGAGCCAACTTCTTTGCAGAATGCAATCTGTGCAATGCACTAGAAATGTTGAGGTTCCCCTGTGGAACTCACTGCCTCATGATGGCATGGAGTACACAGAATTAAAAATAGCAAACAAATATATCCCGGTTGTGTCTGTGTACACATACGCACACCAGAGCCCATACAGTGTCTCTGTTAATTTGTTGGCGTGGTTCTTCTAACCTCAGCTGCTGACTATGATGTTTTGTATTGCTACAGAATATGTTTTTGTATAGGTTATAGAATAAATTTTTATATATAAAATGTCTTCAGTTTATATGGCCGCTCATCTCCAACGAGTGACTCTAAGGGGCTAACCACCATAAAACAAAAGCAAACATACACGCATGTATCAGATCTGATGGACAGATTGGCTAATTTGTCTTGAAAAGCTACACGACAGCAGACCAGGTTAGTACTTGCATGAAGAATCCCCCCCGCCAAGGACCCCCAGGGCTGCAGGTGCAATAACATCCCCGGATAAGAAATGGCAAATCAATTCTATCTCATGAAGAAGGCTGAACCGATGGGTCCCTGCTTGATTTTACGTGCATTCATGCTGTGATTTTGTACCCAAAGTCCCGCAGGCACCATGGTCAGGCCCCTTCCAACTCTTCACTGGCAAAGCACCCACCCGGAGACTCAGGGATGGGTTCGCATAATGCTTAGGGCTGCATTTGTGCAACATGGTGAGTATGGTTGCTGTTAGTTGTGTGCATGCCTGGGCGTGGCTTAGCACATTGCACAGATCTACCTGTTTGGTTAGCACAGAGGTTCTCGACTTGGGGCGGGCAGGGCTGATGGGAATGTTGAAATAGTTGCGGGTGCATTCACAAAATGGCTCGGTGCTTGCCCACTCACAAACGTGAAGCCAGCCGCAGTTGTTTCTTTTTTTTAATTAAAAGGACTGTTTTTAAAATATAAAAAGTGAGTTGGGGCAAGAAACCTGGTGACCACTAGAGAGGGCTCTGCAATCACATTTGCATTCTTTACGTCAGTGTTTTTCAACCTTGGCAACTTTAAGATGCGTGGACTTCAACTCCCAGAATTCCCCTGCCAGCATGTTGGCTAAGGAATTCTGGGAGTTGAAGTCCACACATCTTCCCCTGCCAGCATGTTGGCTAAGGAATTCTGGGAGTTGAAGTCCACACATCTTCCCCTGCCAGCATGTTGGCTAAGGAATTCTGGGAGTTGAAGTCCACACATCTTCCCCTGCCAGCATGTTGGCTAAGGAATTCTGGGAGTTGAAGTCCACACATCTTAGAGTTGCCAAGGTTGAGAAACACTGCCCTACACCAACCTCTATTCCCCTTTGACCCCGATTTGCCTGTTAAGTCTGGAACAGCTTCACCACCAAGATCTCAACCGGTTCTGAGTTAAGGGAACTGTTGCCCTTAAATTAATTTAAAGCCGCTTTAGAGGTAAATTAGAATAAATCCAAGAGACGTCCCACCAATCCTGGGGTGCAAGCGGAGCGTGCAAAGTCGCCAAGCAACTGAGCCACCTTCAGTTACCCACTACGCACCTCCGGCACATCTTTTGCACGCACATATTCTTCCCTTTTGCTAACATCTCTCTCAAGACTCTCCTTCCTGGAGAGTCTGGACGGACAGACACCTGTGGGGTGGGGAAGGGTGGGGACTCAGCGTCCCGTTTGGTAGGAGACGCAGCGGACGCGGTTCAGGCTGAAGGCTGCTGACAAGACTGCGTCTCTTTCGGGTCAGGCGAGGAGAGAAGGGAGGAATAGCCCCCTTGGGGCTGAGGACAAGCCTCTTTTAGGCTGGAAAGACCTGTCTCAGCCGCAGGCAAAGTCAAACGAAAATTGAAGTGTTCCTGTTCTCCCGCAATCGTCCTCTCCTTGCTAATCAATTCGAAGACAGGTAACCCAAGTGACATTGAAGACAAGCCCCACTGCGTGCAGCGGAGGCATTTCGGGTAGCAAAACTCCTCTGCCAGATTGCTCAACAGAGATTGTCCTTAAAAGCAGCTTCTCAGGAGTCCCAAGAGAAAAACTTGGGTTGCCTCCCCCCGGGAGGGAGCATGTCACTTCGGCGGTCAGTGCCAATCACACACACGACTGGAACAAAAGAGACATTATTTGCTTGTCTGGGTTTCGCTCAGCCCCTATCCCAAAGGATCAGGGCTTATAGAAAACTGAGGATTGAATTCCTGTTTTCCTCTGGTCTTTGTGAAGATAAAGCCTTTCTTTTTAAAAAAAAAAGAGAGAGAGACACAGAGAGAGAGAGACACAGAGAGAGAGAGAGAGTATTCTAGATGGAAAATTTTTAATTTGGAATTTTCCTTTAGGAACAGGGAAGAGATGGAGATGGAGGTGGTATGTGCAGACAGGGTCTTTGGGGTGAGTTTCTCTGCATCTCTTCCCCCACTGGACCCCGTGGTAAAGCTGTTTGGGACATCGTTGCCCTGAATTTGGTGCAAGGTCCACCACACCATGTTTAGGAAAGCTGGAAGCTGGGGCATCAGATTCCACCCCCTCTAGATGAAAATAAACCCCACGAAGAAAACTGAGCAGCCAACACAGGCCCAGGCCTGTTGCCCAACAAAAGGACTGTTTGCAACACAGCACACTCCTCCTGAATCTTGCTCCGCGTCCCAAGAAACATAATCCTTACCTCTGCATCACCCTCCCCGCTTTACAGGATCCTGTCCCCTCCCCTCCCCACCCAAGCAAAGCTGCTCATCCTTTAAATTCTCTCCTCCGATTGCTTTCCACTTTCTTCCCAAATGGCTCTCCAGGACATTCTCAGCAAGGACGTCCATCCACGGGCTGCCTCTTGGCCTCGGCCGCCGCCCGGTGGGCCAGTGGCGACCCCCCCGTTCCTGCTGTCCCACGGCACCACCACCCTAGCCTTCCGCTGCCGTCACGGGGTGGTGGTGGCAGCAGACACTCGTTCTTCCTGCGCGGGCCTGGTGGCCAACCCGTCCTCCCGCAAGGTCATCACGCTCCACCCGCACCTCCTGGCAACCACGTCTGGGACCTCGGCCGACTGTGCCACTTGGCTCCGTCTCCTGCGTTGCTCCCTCCGCCTGAGGCAGCTCTCGGAAGGGCAGCAGCCCAGTGTAGCTGGGGCGGCCAAGCTGCTAGCTTTCCTGCTGCGGGGATGCCCCAACAAGGATCTCTGCGTGGCCACCCTGCTCTGTGGCTGGGATCACCAAGGACCTGGCTTGCATTATGTCTACAGTGACGGGACTTGTTTCTCCGGAGATGTTTTGGCCGTCGGGTCTGGATCCACTTACGCCTACAGTGTGTTGGATGGCGCCTATCACTACGATCTGCCACAGGCAGAGGCTTTCTTGCTGGCCCGCCAAGCAGTGGCTCACGCTGCTCACCGAGATGCCTATTCTGGTGGCAACGTGGACCTCTACCACGTCCGGCCAAACGGATGGGTCTGTCTGTCGCGGGAAGATCTGACTCAAGTTTATCACGGCTTGGAGCTCAGAGCCGAAGAGGACGGAGACTGCAGAGGGGAGCCGCACGAAGACACCAACTAACCCCCCCTCTACCCCCCACCAGTAGCCATAATAATTCTGATCTGGAAATCACTCATTCCAGAACGTGAGCATGAAGACCGCCATAGATGGATTGTAAGGCGGGGAAGAGAGCCAGGGTGCAAATAAAGCAGCTTGGGCCAGACATAGCGTTGCCTCCTTTGTTCTGCTCAAGGTAAAAGAGATCCGTAGCGGTGCCTCGGAAGATGAAATCATTAACCAATATGGTGGAAAATAATGAACACAAGCCACCAGCTTGAGCCAACGTAAACCAGCGTGAGCTGACATAAGGTAGACCATGTTGGAAGGGAACAGATGGCGATGCAGCACCCGTTACAAGAAGCCTTAGGCCAGTATAAACCAAGATAGGACAGGCCATGCTGGTTCTGAGTCTGCCGTAAAGGAGACTCAGTGGAAGATTGGTAACCAAAACTGGGTTATGGAGTAAGCAGTCAGCTACGTCTAAGGCTGTCAGGTCAGGTCTGGGGTCCCCAATTTGTGCCCCAGAAATTTGAACCAGGGACCCTCAGGCTCCCTCCAACTGGGTTTCTGAACCGAGGACTGAAGACACAGGATGTGGCCATTCCAGACAACAAGCTGACCAGCCACTATCGCCCCAAGGCTGGATTCACACGCTCAGCTTTCTTAGCGCTGACCTCGGGTAGTTTATTTTCTCAGAAGGCTGCCCAAACTCAGCCGCGTTGACAGCTGAGGTTCCGCGCACGGCGCGAGTCCCGAAAACGAGCGAGTCCAGCAACCGCGATGTGCGGCCGTGCGAAGGCGACAAAAGCGAAGCCGGCCGACCCCTCCTCCGCCTTCCCACCGGCGGCTGCGGAGGGAGCCCAGCCGAGGC